CTTTCCAGGAGCCCTGCCTGTCAGAGGGTTTCTTATCCTGCCTCTACCCCTACCCTCCAGATCCCCAGCACTGTCCCTACATTCCTCATTTCCTTTCAATATCACCAGGTCCTGGCATCTGATACTCCCCTGGGAATAGGAGTAGGGTGGGCATTGCTGTAGCCCAATCCCCTTCTCTACTCCTCTGCCATTGGGAAAACTGAGGCCTGAGTAAAATCCCTCTTTGAGGCTTGGGGGAAGCTGATACCCCTTCTACTGCAGAGGCACAGGAGGTTGGAAGCCCTCTAGGGTGTGTGTCTTTGTGTCTGGGTTCAAGTGCGGGAACCCTACCTGTGGCCACCAGCTTCCTCTCTTGTTTATTTCCCCAGCTTTTTCTAGCAAGCTGAGCTTTTCTACCCCAAATAGACTTCCCAACCCCCAGCCCTCAGTCCAAGTGCTGCCCATCAGGCAGGCTTAGACTGCAATCCCAGCTTTGCCACTCACCAGTTGAGTTGACTTGGGAGGTCATTCTCCTCTCTGTGCTTCAAATTCCTTATACATAGAATGGTACTAATGATACCTCATGGGATCGTTTGAGGGTGCCATGATGTAATGCCAAGAAAGGACTCAGCTTGGAGACTTGCACATGGCCTGCACCCAGAAGTAGCGACGTTCCCTATTCCCATGGGCCGCTTCTCCACTTCTGGCCCTGCTATACTGTTCTCCCTTTGTAATTAGGAGATAGGTCAACTTGGAGAAGTGGTATGTGTAGTAGTTCAGGGTAGATATTCCGGAGCCAAACTGCCCAGACAGGAACCCCAGCTCTGCCTTTTTTCTAGTTGTCCAGCCTGGGCAGGTGACTTAACTTCTGTACCTCAGTTTTCTCAGCTACAACATAAGAATGGTAATAGCACTTAAAGCAGTGCCCAGTACCTGGTAAGCATTACTGGTGAATTAGCTAATACTCAGAGCCATGTCCTTCCATGTGGACAAAGTCTCAGGGGTCACCTAGGAAGTTATCTGACCAGAGAAATGCCTGCTGATTCCTACAGAGGGGCACTTGGAGGAAATTTCCCAATTAGGAGTCCTGAGCCTTCACAAAACTGTTATTTCTTTTTTTTTTTTTTTTTTTTTTTTTGAGACGGAGTCTGGCTCTGTCGCCCAGGCTGGGGTGCAGTGGCCGGATCTCAGCTCACTGCAAGCTCCGCCTCCCGGGTTTACGCCATTCTCCTGCCTCAGCCTCCGGAGTAACTGGGACTACAGGCGCCCGCCACCTCGCCCGGCTAGTTTTTTGTATTTTTTAGTAGAGACGGGGTTTCACCGTGTTAGTCAGGATGGTCTCGATCTCCTGACCTAGTGATCCGCCCGTCTCGGCCTCCCAAAGTGCTGGGATTACAGGCTTGAGCCACCGCGCCCGGCCCAAAACTGTTATTTCTAAGATTTTCTGGTGGTTTCTGAGTTTCCCGTAGCCTAGAAGGGGGCGGTGACATGGAGCTTGCCTGCCGAGAAGCTGAATATGAGATGATCAAAACATGATCAAAACCGTATGAAGCTGGCTCTGAACAAACGCTCAACCACACAACAGAGATAGCCCCAGCTGTCTTGAGAATTGAATGTGCTCCTGGTGGGGGGCGGGGCATGGTGGGAAAAGGCCATGTTCAGTTCCATTTTTGTTAATCATATGTGTATTGGGGCTTATTTTGTACCAGACCCTGTCAGAGCAATGTTGGCAATGGAGTTGGATGAGGCCCAACCTTTCCCTCGGGAGCTCTATCAACAAATAGAAAAGGGAGCTTTTCATCACCCAAAGGCTAAGAGAAACCTGAGCAGGGGTGTCAGATACTTTTAGGAAGATATTGGCTACTGAGATATTGGCCTTTATGATGTGAGGTATCACCCAGCTGCAGGCCTTGAACCTATAACAGATGCCATGTGCCCTAGAGAGGAAGGTGTCTATCTAGAGGCAGGCAACAAGGCCTCCACATCCTAACTGGGGAGCTAGGAGTCCACACCACTCCTCAGAGGGCTGGCAATCTCTAGTGGGCTCCTAGCCCACCAGAACTCTGGATAAATGAAGATGCAACAATCGTCAGTGACTCACCATGAAGCAGAAAGCAGATGTTGATTAAATGGAGTCACAGGGCTGAGAATGTTAGAGTGGGGCAGGATGCTCAGTTCCTCCAGTTGCTCAGATTGCTGGGCTTATCTACCTGGCAGGGAGATAAGACCCAGTGTCCAGGATGGGTTGATATGGTTGGGGGGTGATAAAAAGAGGAAGGCAAAAAGCTAGGATGGAAAGCACTGGCTATAGAAGGGGTGGGGAGGGTTGCATGCCAGCTCCCCTAGGGCTCTGGTGTCCACCCCCTCAGATTTCCTCCAAATTCTTCATTTCCCAGGCTTCCAGGGTCAATTGAATCCAAGGCACTTCACTAGCTCCTAGACTATTTTCTCTTTTTCTGAGCCTCAGTTCTCCTTTGATCTCAGAAGGTGGCCCCAGGGAGTGTTTTCTGGATGTGCAAGACTTTGTGGGGTATCTATGCAAATGCTGGCGGTTTAGTATAAGAACTAAAGAATCAGGAGCCAAGTTGTTGTTTGGAAGGAGTCTCGAAAATCAAGCTTCTCTCTCCCATCTGACAAATGGGGAAACTGGGTCTTGGGGTGCAGAATGGAAAAGGAACTTGCCCAGAGTCGCACAATGAGTAGGGCAGAGACAGGATCATGGGACTCTGGCCCAGGCAGTGAATTCAGGATTTGCTCTGTACCTCCTGGCAGCAGTGTCATGGAGGTAGTATCCAGGGGCCCCTGTCCTGGTAGCATATTCTTCAAGGTTCCCACTCTCACCTGCCCTGCTCTGTCTGTGTGTTCCTCCGATAGTCCAGAGAGATCACTTTTGTTGCTTCTGTGGCAGGCTGACTTCCTGTAAATGTCACTGGCACTGAGAGGGTTTTCAGGCAATATGATCCCCCCACCCCCACCATGTGCATTTGTCCTCTGAGACACCAGCCTGCTGGGATGCGGGGCACGGGATCCACAGCTGGGAGACTTAGAACGCCATGGCTGGCTGGCTCGGTGGATGGATGAAAGAATGGCTGGGTGGGAAGTGGGTGAGTGGACGGTTGGATGGATGGAGGTCTGATGAATGCAGAAACAGCTGAATGAATGGATGCATGGATGCATGATCCCAGGTGATTCTAAGACCTGGGATACCCAAGGTTTTGAGCACTTGCATCTGGGAGCAGAGGAGAGGAAGAGGATGTCATGCTGTCAGTGAGGAGGGGCTGCCACAACTCCCTCAACATTTCTCCCTTTTCTTTTTTTTTTGAGACGGAGTCTTGCTCTGTCACTCAGGCTGGAGTGCAGTGGCCGGATCTCAGCTCACTGCAAGCTCCACCTCCTGGGTTTACGCCATTCTCCTGCCTCAGCCTCCCAAGTAGCTGGGACTACAGGCGCCCGCCACCTCGCCCAGTTAGTTTTTTGTACTTTTTAGTAGAGACGGGGTTTCACCGTGTTACCCAGGATGGTCTTGATCTCCTGACCTCGTGATCCGCCCGTCTCAGCCTCCCAAAGTGCTGGGATTACAGGCTTGAGCCACCGCGCCTGGCCCATTTCTCCCTTTTCAAGGACTGCCCAGGCCTGGTTTTGTTGCTGGCTGAGGTATACCTGATATAACGACGGCCTCTCTTCCCAGGCAAGGGTGCTCGATCTGGCTGCCTTGCTCTCATCTGACCCCAGTGGCACAGAGTTGTCACTCCCAGCTGGAGAGGCCCTTAGAGAACACCATCTGGAGGCCAGCCTGCTTCCCCAGGGGACTTCTCAAGGTCGAGGCCCTCACTCTGTACAGAGAAGCCCTGTGGGATGCTCCAAGAGTCACACGGCTCTCATCTCCCAGAGCTGAGATTCCTTTCTGGTCTCATCTGGGGAGATGTCTCTCGTCTCAGTGTTGCTTTTGAGCCCTGGAGCCCATGTAGACTGTAGGGGTGGTGGTAGGGCTCCTCTATGCGGAATCTCTTGTGCTTCCCTGGCTATTCCTTCTTCCACCCTGTGGGCCTCTCTCCTGTCTCTGACCTCTGCCTCCCAGATCTGTCTGTCAGTGTCCCTGAGAGGCATGGCCCCAGGATTGTAAAGATGGGGCTGGACCTTGCTCAGTTTGGCTGAGAGAGGAAGGCTGGCCTGGAAGTCAGATTCTGTATGGACAGAATGGACAGATGGGCCCTCAGCCCTGGCTTCTGAGTCTTTCCTCACATATTTATTCATTCACTAAACAAATATTTATTGAGGGACTGCCTTGTGCCAAGCAGCATGCTGGACACCAGAAAAACAGTGGAACCCAAAAGAGATGTGATCCTAGTCCAAGAACATGGACAAATTTGGACAAACCAGCAAATATAAGTCAGTATGATGAATGCTGTGAGGGGCTACTACAGGAGGCTACCTAACCGAGCCTGGGGTAAGGGAAGGCTCCCTGGATGAAGAGGCATCTGGACCCAGATGGGAAGCCAGGTGGGCAGAGGAGAGAGAAGAGTGTGCCAGACCAAGGGAAGGGCGTGGGTGGATGGGTATTTTCCCCCTAGGCAGTAGAGCTGGGTCCTTTGCCCCACTCCACCTCCCCCAGCCATGAGAGCTGATTCCCCACAACTCCCTTCCCCTGAGTGACACTGGATCCCTCAGACACCTGGATGCTTGAACACCTGCTTTGGAGAGCAAAGACTGGGAGGCATGAGACACTGGCTCACTCAGGGAACTGATCGAAGCTTAGTGTTGCTGAACTACGGAAAGCAATGAGGCTGATCCTGAGAGCATCAGGTTGTTAAGTGAAGGTGAGCGAGGAGATCCCTTAGGCCACAGAAGAGAAAATAGATACTGCCATTCTACCTCCCCCTTCCTATTCCTGTCCTCCTGGCTAGACAGCAAACAGACAGCAGACAGATCTATGGGTGCCAGGTGGCTTTTTTTTTTTTTTTTTTTCTTTAAGGCTAGTCAAGCAGTGGGAGTGGAGAAGGAAGAAAGAAATCTGTAACTGGTTGTGATCAATTAGTTGTAAACACCAGGTGGTTTTATTGGTAGCATTGCAGTCTGGGGGTGGAGCAGCTTTACTCTGACCACGCTCACCCTCTTGCTCACACTCACACACACACACCCCCCAGGCCCTGTCCTGGCTGGTCAGGTCTGGTGCAGAGGAGCTGGAGGCCTGGTGCTTCCTTCTGGTCCTCGGTTCCCCAGATTAGGTAATAATTCACAACGCTTCACTTGGACTCCAGGCTCCCTCTGGTGCTGTCATGGGTTAACTGCTGCGGCGCTTCATCTAGAGGAGGCAGGAGAGGAAGGGTCACAGGCTGGAATCTTAGACAGGAGTTCAGAGGGAGGATACAGGGCCAGGGAGACCAGGCTTGCCTTGGTTGAGGTCCTCTGCAGTCTCTGGATGATGCGTTCTACCCAGGACTGGTCTGGGGGTGCACAGAGCTGGCGGCCCCTCAGTGTGGTGAACCTGGGGTGAGAGATCAGAGAGAATGGAGCCCCAGAATCCAGCATATCTGGGGACCATGTCTGGGAACCTGTTTCAGGGATTTCCTTGAAGGGATTGGGCTTGGCATGGAGAAGGGGAATGAGAAGGTGGGAGTCTCAGCAGGGGCTAAAAAGGGAGATGAGGCTAGACACCCTCCCCACCACTCACACCACAGCAGGCACCCTGCAGCCATCCTTGATGAGAAGGTAGCGGAAATTCCTCACGATGTATCCCGGGATGGGTTTCTGGGTCACAGACAGGCAGCAGTCTTCAGCATCATTGGTGCCACTCAGAGTTGGGGCTGGGATGGGGAAAGAAGGTGACAGGACACAGGGCCCTTGAGGGTGGCGTGGCCATTGCCCTAGCTCGGATTAAGGACACCTCTGTGTGTGTGTGTGTGTGTGTGTGTGTGTGTGTGTGTGTGTGTGTTTGTGTGTGTGTGATGGGGTAGGGGAGGAGTTAGACCTGGTATTCAACCAGCATGCACCAATATGGCTCTGGCTCTGCTGGTTGCTAAACATATTGTCATACTTCTAAACTGTTTTGCAAATAACCACTGCCCTGAGCCCCACAAATGACTTCCTGCTGCCCTGATCACCCCAGCCTCTCTCCCAAGACAATCCAGCAAGTAAAGAGTTAATGCAGGTCACAGTGTGGGAGGGGTGTGGGGTGGGGTACGCTGGTGTTAGGAGCCTTATTAATTGCTAAATTTTTGAATATCAGCCTTGGCTCGGTGTCTGCCATTCTCCCTACCTTAAGGAAATCTCCTTCTGCCTGGGAAACGGAGGCAGCAGGAAATAGAGCTTGCAGAGACAGCCACAGCCATAGGCCCCAGGATGTACTAAGAGACACACCTGCATTGGAATTCAGGGGCACAGGGATACCCACACTCACAGGCACACATGCAGGACCCGCCAGGCTCACCGAAACATGCAGACCTAAGCATTCGCCTGAACTCACCATGTCCCTTACGTCCAGTGCCAAGCAGTCTGAGATCTAGACATTACCCACTGCCAGCCCCTCACTGCCCCTGACCCTGACTCTTCCTTCAGCCTTACCTGGGGAGGTCCAGAGAACCAGCAGGCTGAGGGCCAGTAGCAGGGCCATGGAGGGTGAACAGAGGCAGGCCAGTGGCGAATATGTAAGTGCCAGCTGTCTTGGTGTGTGCAGGATCTGTGTGAGGCTGCAGGGCGACTGGGATGCAGGGGTGAAATGCAAGGTATGAATGATGTGAGGCTGGGAATGTGAGTCCTGCAGCTGACTCCTATTTATGGCCAGAGCTTCACTTTCTCTGCCTGAAATTCCCCTTCATGTCCCATTCTGTGATTCCCCTGTTACCTCCCTCTTTCTGGCAGAATCTCACTCTGCCCCTCCTTCTTCCCCACTGCGGTTGCCCTTTCCTTCTGCTTTCCTTGGCTCCTGCTCTGAGAACTTAAGTCTGCAGTCTGGCCCAGTAAAGGGGGTTGTGCATTGTTTCTCCAGGGAAAGGGATTGCTCTGTCATCCCATTGGTGGCATTTGCATCATCAATCATGGAGCTGGGGTTCAGAAGTGATGGTCAAAGGTGGGGCTCCCTTCCTTAGGTTTATCCCTTGTCCTCACTGGTGCTTCTTTCTTGGGAGGCTGATGGTGAAGAAGGCTCCCTGGCACCCTCAGGACAACCATGAGAGCCTGGGGTGGCCTCCAAGGTCCCACCATATGGGAACCAGTCCTTCCCTTGGGGCAAGCAGAGCTGAAAGGCCAGGTACCTTGGGAGGAGACCCAGGGCCCCCATCCCACATCTCTGGCCTCTGGGGCTCAGCAAGCCCTCCCTTTCCTCTGTTTACCATTTTCCTATGTCCAACACCTGGGTGAAAGGAACAGCTGGAGGGAGACTGGCTTGGAATAGCCCCCTTCATTTTCCCCCTTTTCTCAGTCCTGGGAACCAAGAGGGGATTTCTAAGGAGAGGGGCTGGCCAGCTCATATTCAGACAAATCTTAAAATTTCAAGGAATTGACTGATGGAGGAGGGGACAAGTGACTTCCCCCTTATGAGAAAGGTCAGAAGAGAAGGCCTCGAAAGAGAAACTAAATATGAAATGCCCATTCACCCTTCGTCACCCAAGTCCTAGACCCTCTCTTGGATGTGGAGAGGGAGGGGGAACATTTCCCTCTTAAATTTCTGACTTAGCTTCTTTCCATTCATTAATCATAATAATAGTAATGGTATTTTTGATTGTTTGCTATGTGCTAGGCTCTATGTCAAGGACTTTACCACAATTACCTTGCTTAACTTTCCCAAAACAATATAATTGATGTAGTTTTTCTTATTTTCACGTTATTATTCTTATTTTACCCATAAGGAACATGAGGCTCAGAGCACAAAGCCACACAGCTAGTAAGTACTGGAGCATGATTTGGACCCAGGTGTGCTCTAGGGTTTACACTGTTTACCTTCATCCCACACCACCTGTGTGCCACTTGGTCATGGCACAGCACAGGTAGTACACGGTGCAGAGGAGGGAGACTCTGCAGACAGAGCGCCTAGCTTGGGATTCAGATTCCACCACTTACTAACTGCAACAAGATGAAAATTCTCCAGTTTCTGTGTCTTAGTGTCCTTATTTGTAAAATGGGAATGGTAGATCTACATCTCAGGATTAAATGAGGTACCCTGAGTAAAGCCCTTAAAAGCCCTTAGCTTAGAGGCTGATGCACAATAAGTTCTGTTAGCCATTGTTCTTCTTTTGTCCTTTCTTTTTTTTTTTTGGGACAGAGTCTCCCTCTGTCACCCAGGCTGGAGTGCAGTGGCGTGATCTTGGCTCACTGCAAGCTCTGCCTCCCGGGTTCACGCCATTCTCCTGCCTCAGCCTCCTGAGTAGCTGGGATTATAGGCACCTACCACCACGCCCAGCTAATTTTTGTATTTTTAGTAGAGGTGAGGTTTCACCATATTGGCTAGGCTGGTTTCGAACTCCTGACCTCAAATGATCTGCTCGCCTCCGCTTCCCAAACTGTTGGGATTACAGGCGTGAGCCACCATGGCTTTCATTAATTCATCCATCCATCCCTCTTTCCATTGATCTATCCATTCTTCTGTCCATGGTGGTTCTGGTTATTCTGTTTGCCCCAATCTATCCATTTTCCACTCTTCACGGCCCTGCTCTGCTCCCTGGAAGGCTGACCTCTGCAGATAGCATTACTCAGGGTCTCCTGCTCTCTGGCTTCTGTTTGGGGCTGGCCCATGGGAAGCAGCAACAGGAGATCAGTGGTGGAAGGAGAGAGGCTGGGATATTAATTCCCCAAATCTTTCATCTTGTTGCAGTTCTGGCAGTGAATAATTTCCCTTGTGGCAGTTGTTCTCAAAGAGTAGCCTTTGGGCAGCAGCAGCAGCATCACTTGGGAGCTTGTTAGAAACACAAATTCTTAGATTTTACTTCCCACTTACCACGTCTGAGACTGAGGATGGGGTCCAGCAAACTGCATTTTCACACACCCTCCAGGTGACTCTGATACGTGCTAAAGTTTAAGATCCAAATGAGCCTCAGAGATACCATCAAATGTATACCTCACCCCAGGAGTCTTAGGAGGAGAATAGAGAGAATAGGGCATTAAAAAAATTGAAGAAATAATGACAAAACATCTGAAATCTGATGAAAAGTATGAATATACATATCCAAGAAGTTCACTGTGCCCAGCCTGCTATGTTGTTATGTTTATCAGAGATCTTTGTTTCTTTGTGTGGCTGTAAGTTATTATTTTTTGTTCTTTTGTTTCATTCTGAAGGTCTCCCTTTAGCATTTCTTTGTTTGTTTGTTTTTTGTTTTTTCTTTCTCCCTTTAGCTTTTCTTATGGGCAGGTCTACTATTAATGAACTTCATAAGTTTTGTTTATCTGGAACAGGAGTTTGAGACCAACCTGGCCAACATGGTGAAACTCCATTTCAACCCGACTCCTCAGCTACTCAGGAGGCTGAGGCAGGAGAATCCCAAGGCTCACATTGACCTCCCAAAGTGGTCTACAGATTGAGGCCCACTGGTCTAGAGTGATCCTTTTGGGTTGCCTCCCTTCCACGGGTCTATCTCTATTCTTTTTTTTTTGACACAGAGTCTCAATATGTCACCCAGGCTGGAGTGCAGTGGCACAATCTCAGCTCACTGCAACCTCTGCCTCCCACGTTCAAGCAATTCTCCTGCCTCAGTCACCTGAGTAGCTGGGATTAGAGGCACACACCACCACCCTGGCTAATTTTTTTTTTTTTTTTTTTTTTTGAGATGGAGTTTCACCCTTGTCACCCAGGCTGGAGTGCAATGGCACAATCTCGGCTCACTGTAACCTCCACCTTCTGGGTTCAAGTGATTCTCCTGCCTCAGCCTCCTGAGTAGCTGGGATTACAGGGACCTGCCACCACGCCCGGCTAATTTTTTTTGTATTTTTAGTGGAGACGGGGTTTCATCATGTTGGCCAGGCTGGTCTTGAACTCCTGACCTCAGGTGATCCACCCGCCTTGGCCTCCCAAAGTGCAGGGATTACAGGCGTGAGCCACCGTGCCTGGCCTAATTTTTGTATTTTTAATAGAGATGAGGTTTCACCATGTTGGCTGGTCTCGTCTCAAATTTCTGACCTCAGGTGATCCACTCACCTCAGCCTCCCAAAGTGCTGGGATGACAGGCTTTGGAAACACTGTTCCCTCCTCTTGCCCCTTCAAGCCTTTGTATGGTAATGGCTTCTCACCATTGCTAGACCCCAACAGCTTATCATCCCATGTTGGTTCCTTAATATTGACCCAGTCTCTTAAATTGTCCTTTTATTAAAATCTTCCCAGTTAAATTTTTTTGAGTGTATGTGATATTGTGAAATATATATCTGGTCTTCATCTTCCTTTTCTGACATATAGCTCCTAAAATCCTTGGAATCTTGGGATAGATTGTGTCTTTTGTATGCTAATGAGATAACCGGTGGCTGGAGGCCTCTAGACAGCCTCTGGATAGGAGCTGGTCAGCAGAAGAATCAGCCACATGGTTAGAGAGTTGGAACATTCTCTAACATTCTCTAGTGGTGGGGAGTCCCACCCACTCCCCACTTCTGGGTAGGGGAAGAGGGGTTGAAGCTTGAGTTGATAAACCAATGGCTGATGATGTAATCAATCATACCTATGTACTGATACTTCCATTAAAAACCCGAAAGGATTAAGTTGGCGTAGGGGCTTCTGGATAGCTGAAAACATGGAGGTTCTGGAGGGAGGGTGCCCAGAGAGGGCATGGAAGGTCCACACCTTTTTTTTCCCCCATACCTCACTCTATACATCCCTTTCATCTGGCTGTTTATCTGTCCTTTGTAATATCCTTTATAATAAATGGGTAAGCATAAGTAAATGTTTCCCTGACTTCTGTAAGCCGCTCTAGCAAATTAATTGAACCCCAGGTGGGTTGTGGAAACCCCTATTTATAGCTGGTCACTCAGAAGCATAGGCCAAAATCTGTGCTTGCAATTGGTATCTGAAGTAGGGGGGCAGTCTTGTGGAACTGAACTTTCAACTTGTGGGATCTGATGCTACCTCCAGGTAAATGATGTCAGAATTGAATTGAATTAGAGGACACCCATCTGGTGTCCACTGAGGAACTGTCTGCCAGAGAATTTCTCGGTGGGGAGAAAAATCCCACACACTTATGAATAACCAGAGGTCACAGAAGTATTGAGTGGTGAGAGGGAGTAGAGAGTAGGGAAACATGGTTTTCCCTGTATCCTTGGAGTGTGCTATGTTTCCTGCCAGGGTTCTCACTGATATAATTGGTAGTACCAGGACATAGATTCCCAAAATGCGATTCTAGGATTGGCTTGCCCTTGATGAGGGCATGGATGGTCTCTGTGCTTGGAAAAAGAGGACACAAGTAATCTGGAGCATGTAGAAGCATCACAGTCACTTAGACTATCACTCGTGAGGCATGGATGAAACGTTGGAAGTCAAGACATTAGGAGATAAAGTACCTGAAGCACTTACTTACTGTGGCCACAAATGATGATTGTAAATGGTGATTACTATATTGTCACTATAGTACTATATTGAGGCCAGAACCTCACTGGCCATTTCTGATTGTGCTAGTAAAATTCCAATAAAAAAGATAAGGTTAGGCCAGGCACAGTGGCTTACGCCTGTAATCCCAACATTCTGGGAGGCTGAGGGGGGCAGATCACTTGAGGTCAGGAGTTTGAGACCAGCTTGACCAACATGGCGAAACCCTGTCTCTACTAAAAATAGAAAAATTAGCCAGGCATGCTGGTGGGCGCCTGTAATCCCAGCTACTTGGGAGGCTGAGGCAGGAGAATTGCTTTAACCTGGGAGACAGAAGTTGCGGTGTGCAGACATCATGCCATTGCACTCCAGCCTGGCAACAGAGTGAGACTCTATATATATATATATAAAAAGTTTAGACCATGAACTTCTAACTCAAATGGAAGTCTTAAGGAATGTTTATTATATGTGGCCACATGACAGATATGGCTGAGGATCAGATCCAAGACCCGAGTGTCTTGGATTCATGTCTGAGTGATGATGCCCTTATGCTAGAATAAAGGCACTGTTGGGAAGGCATAGGACTCTGAAACTTGGAATGGTGACATTGGAGCAGAGATGAACAAAGCTGAGAACTCTGGACCTTCAAATCCCCCTGAATCTTCCTTGGTGGCAGAAAATAATTCCCCCTGCCCCTGTAAACCATGAAGGAT